TACAAATATTTTAAACCCAATTTTTCAAATGTGTGGAGGAATTACACAAATTAATGGAAGAAGATCTCATTCCTATCCAAATGTTTACTTTAATATATAAGTTGCGATGAAACACGGAAAATTCAACAAGAGACATGTTAAATTAGCTTACCTAAACTGTTATTATATTCTTATTTTTTGCATCTAGAATTCTTTATGTTTTTTAGGATCTTTCCTATTGATAAGTGTGATAATATGCTAAACTCACACACGCTACATGGATGCTAGAAACTCATTTTTCACTGTATTGGGGTGGGGCTTGCAGTACTCTTGAGGTGTTTTTAAATTTCTGGCTGGGTTTGTACTTCAAGATGGACTTGTTATCCAATGATCGCGGCATGGATTTGATTGAATTTGTTGTTAAATAATTCTACTTATTTCTGACATCCCAATGTTAAATAGATGAAAGTGTAAACTTTGACTTCCAAGTTTAGCAATCTCCATGCATTTATATTGTTTCTTTCTTGGTAAAGCTATATTATTTACAAAAGGTTATTTAAGAGTGCTAGTTAATTAAGTGTATTTTTGTTGTCCATTAGGTTTACAGAAGGTACAAGCAATACTATCAACAGATGCAGGCAGTGGTAACATCATTTGAGTATGTTGCTGGGCTTGGAAATGCAGCTCCCTATGCAAACTTAGCAATAAAGGCCATGACTCGACACTTCAAGTGTTTGAAGAATGCCATAACTGACCAACTTCAGTTCAGAAATAGGGATGCTACTCAGTTAAGCCATGGAAAAGATGAAAGTCAAATGCTTCGCAACACTAGAGGATTCTATAATCAAAGATCCATTCACAACTCCGACTTTGTCGAGCACCAACCTGTTTGGAGACCTCAACGGGGTCTTCCTGAGCGTGCCGTTACTGTTCTTAGGGCCTGGTTATTTGAACACTTCCTGCATCCGTAAGTAATTACTTAGTGCCTGGTCAGCTTGTTGTACTCTTCTTCAATGGATTAATATGAAGCTTGATACCCCAAATCCTCATGTGTTTATAGTCTGATGTATTGGTGTTTCTCTTCGCTGCTTTTATGTTGCAGTTACCCTACTGATTCGGATAAACTAATGTTGGCTAAACAAACTGGTCTATCACGGAGCCAGGTGTGTGACATCAATCCTCTATAATCATATCACCATTTATAGTTTTTGAAACACATGTTCAATCAATTTTGATGTTGTGAATCAGGTTTCAAATTGGTTTATTAATGCAAGAGTAAGGCTCTGGAAACCAATGGTGGAAGAAATACACACGCTCGAAACACGGCAAGCGCAAAAAACTTCACAGAGGGGTGATCAAAGTGCGAACAGATCAATTGATGATCATTTACCTTCACCAAACTCACTTGCATCTGAGAATCCATCCACAACCACCCACAGGGTTCAAGACAGCTTGTCGAAACGCACAAGAAATGAACTTCCTGATCACATCACTATGGGGAGTAGTACTGATCAATTGAACCTATCATGCAATAACTTGCCAAGCCATATGCATGTGGGTCATGTTGGTATGAACATGGCTGGGGGAAGTAGTAGTGGTGTTTCTCTAACACTAGGTCTTCACCAAAATAATGGTATTGGTTTGTCAGAACCCTTTCCTATTAATGCAGCTCAACGTTTTGGCCTTGGCCTCGATGGCAACAATGACGGCTATGCAATGGGTGGTTTCGAATCTCAAAATCGACATTTCGGAAGGGATGTCATGGGAGGGCAATTGTTGCACGATTTTGTGGGATGAACATGCAAGGCATATCCGGACATCATTGAATTGGAGATTATATACTAACAAAATTGCAGTTAGATGTTCATTTATCAAGCCAGAATCCAAGTTGAAATTACAAGAGTGGTATGAATGGTTGGTTTACCCTATTATTGTGGTGTTAGCTAGAGGTATGTTCATTTTGTCACATCCCACTGTATATTTTTCTCTTGAAAATACTCCGGCAACGCAAATGTTTGGTGTTAAATTCATATGTAAATTTTTATTTAATTATATATGATAAGAAAAATGTGCTTCAGCTAGTGTAAAATGATTGCCCTAATTTTGCCACAAGGCACGTCATGACTGGGTATGAATATTCGTGTGAGTGAATGGTCATTTCGAAATTGAAACCAAGTTGTATTGGGACATTCGACACTCAAGTTTTGTTTTGCTATGGTTGCAGTCAATCTCGTGAGCATATGACTTTCCCCTTTTCCTGTCTTGCCAACTCTGGAAACAAATAAATAGTAAATAGGTTTTTAGTACAGAAATTGAAAACCGACTTGTTCCTGAGTTGACGATGGGCCATCTGCTGGACTTTTTTACGTACTTGCTTGGTAATTGCAGGCCATGCAGCTGCTATTGAAATGTATGAAAGTATACGATGTACAAATTCCAGGCTACAGTGAAAGGGCAAAGTGCACAGCTGGAGAGAAGAGGACTCTGCCATTTATTTCTGTTTGTATCATTTCTGGAACTCTAGGTGAACTGTAAACATCACAAACATAAAATGGACAACCATACTTATTTCAGTGAATACTGTGTTTTTAAACACGAGCGATATTGAGGATGCGGAAATCCAACGCTAAATATCAGGCAAGGTGAACCCGTTAAGCTACAACAAGCTCATTGCTCCGTGGTTGTTCACATTGGGCATTTTGTGTACGCACTTACCCAAGTGGAATGGATCGATACTTTCTTGAGATCATGGCATTAGATTATATAGGAAGATATGTCTTTTGTTCTAGGTTACATATATGGTATATGCCTTCCCTAAAGGACTAGTAGTGAGACTTGGGTCTCAACCTAAGAAAAATATAGGGCCCGATTCAAGGCCTGTATGGATGAAGCCTAAATTTGCTGTGACCCATTATTCTTGCTTTTTATTTATTTTGGAAAAACTTTAAAATTTACTTCAACTAACAAATTGGGATTCTTATATACTTTATTTTCGGCCGGGAAAACTTAAGAGTGCTGCTAAACGAACCCTAAAATTAACTGAGTACACCCTATGATCTAAGTACACCATAATATTTTAATTTTTATGTAAAATTAACTAAGTACACCCTATAGAACTACCACAAATACCCCTAGTACACCCTAATACTTGTAGCATTATTTTATAGTTGATTTTCAGCTTGATTTTTTTTAATAGTGTTTATAAATCTTTGACTTTTCATATGGATTTATGCTTCTACTAAAACTGTTGACACTTTTTTTTGCAATTACAAGTTCTTGCAATCACCACCTTTTTCGTTAAAAACACAATATGACAAATGGAAAATTAAATACAAATGATCTCATAACATTTTTTGTTTTGGAAGAAGCCAAATGAGCAAAAAGCCATCATAATTACCCATGCACGAAGCTGAGACAAACGCATGGAGATTTATCCATGGCTCCAAAAAAAAAAAAGACATGCTTTTGGTTGTTCAGAGAGGGTCTAGGTAAGTCATATTGATTTTCATATTCATAAAGAAACATTGACTTTGACTTTGATTCGGTTTCTTTTCTTATTGCTGATTGGGTAATTAGGATGATAAAAGATTGTTGGAGCATAAACACAAAGAACAGGAAGAAAGAAACAGCACAGAAGATTGCAAAAGGTTGGCAACCAAGTAATCCAAGTTGCCAAGAAATAGTTCTGAGAAGAAAGAAGGAAGGCTTCATCTGACTTGCGGATCACTAAGATGGGAATCAAGTAATCTCTTGATTAGGGTTGAATATGTTTAATAAGGTGTACTTATTAAAATTATATTTGTTTCATAATTCCACATATCCTTTTTGGTCATTTTATTTAGGGTAAATTAGTAATTCAATATATATTTTTGTAGTAGGGTGTACTCGGTTAATTTTAGGGTTCATTTAGCAGCACTCAAACTTAAATGTCTCTTGGGTCACAACACCTTCTGGCTTCTCCTGTTGGTTACCGATTTATTTTTAGTGGTTGTCGACTTGCTTTGATGGCATAATTTGTGTTTGTTGGATTATGTGGCATTTGTTATTTGCGTTAGGTTTCCTAATGTATTTTATGGGCTTTTGCCGTTTGTGGGATTTTTGCTTTTATATGGGTTTTATGCTTCTATGTGTGCAAAGCTTTATGCATTTTGTAACTTTTATAACTGTAATGGGCTCTATACCTTTTTTTGTGTTGCATTTGGTGTGAATTCAATTTTTTGAGTTCATTTTGGTGTAACTGGCTTTGATCTTTTATTTAATAAAAATTGATTTTTAAAAAGAAAAAGAAAAAGAAAAAGGGATTCTTATATACTTTCTTTTTGGCTGGGAAAACTTTGATGTCCGAGTATAACTTAAGCAAGACAATGATCACCCAAACCCAAACCCGAAATTGGAATTCGTTGCTATGCAATCTTCAACTTGGTTTAGTTCATACAAAACCCAATTTAAATGAGGATGATAGGTGAGCAGAAGGAAAGTCAATGAAACATGACAAACGTGTAAGGTTGGTCCAAAACACTTTGGCATGGCTGGGAATTTTCCTCGTTTGTAATGAGTTGCACGAGGACTAGGAAATGCGACAAGTATTTACAACGTACTTGTACGGAAAAGAACATGTCATAGTCAAGGCAGTATGGAAGGGTTGGTGCTAGTTGTGGGGAAATGACACTTCAGAAGACTTTAGAGGGACAATTGAAATATTTTATAGCTTGGTCATGTAACAAATTTTTAGTCCAACACGTTATTTTGAAATTTCCAATGTGTACAGGTTGTTTTGAAGTGCCCCGGATGTTATTCAAGACGGCTTCTTAGATATTGATGGTAATTAGGGTCACGTTTTATGTTTTTTTTTGTCGTCTTAAAAATTTCTAATGTAATTTTACATATCTTTCTTGTCTCTTGGGATTGTGTAAAAGTTCAAGAAACTAATTAAAAAATGAGGTACATTAGAATTAAAATTAAACCCAAAGTTTATAAATAGATAGAATTATTTCATAAACCCCCAAATTCTAAAGTTGAGTAAACAAAGGAAAGAAAAGCGAGAAGAGCATTTGGAAAGTTAGTAGTCTCATCGTCCATAGCACGCAGAAAAATGTTCCACATGTGTAGCGCGTCCACACTTATTTGGAAAACCAGTCTAAACCACAAGGTAAGTTAACTCTCTCCTCCTGTTAGGGTTTTCGCTTCTCTTCTCTCAGAAGGGTCTCTTTGGACTCTGTCTTCTTCTTCGTCGTAAGATTTTTCCAACTCCGTGACCACACAGTTTCACCCAATTTCAGATTATATAAGATTCTTCCAATATCACCCAAACCCATGCGAGATCAGCCAAGCTCGGCTCAACCCAATTTTACAGACGGGGAAAGATTGAAACTTGCGTAGAAATAAGATAGAGATAGAGGGTTTGTGAATATGGAAGCTCGAGTTGGGGTGGTAGTGGAAGGAAAGCAGAGAGCTTTAAATTCAGCTCAGGGAAGCGTGGTGGATGGAGGTGCCAGGAAATTTTTACAGCAACAGAGCCAAGCCAAGCAGTCTATGAATCAATCGGCTCAGGTAGGCACGGTGAACCAGCTCTTAGCTGGTGGTATTGCTGGGGCTTTTAGTAAAACCTGTACTGCACCTCTTGCTCGCCTCACCATCCTCTTTCAGGTTCTCTCTTATTCCTTTTGGTTTTTTTTTTTTTGGCGCTAATTTAGCTGGTATTGTTTTGTGATATGGGTTTTGGTGGGTTTGTGTTTTCGAGCATTATTGATATTTGAGGAGTGGGATTTTTTGTCATAGGTTGGGGTTTGCTGAAAGAGTGTTCAAGTTGGGGCTCTGTTTTCTGATTTGGGATATAAAGTAAAGGGTTTTCTTTTTTGAATTTTAAATTTTAGTTTCTTGGTCGAGGGTTGAGAATTTGGCAAACGAAAATGTAGGACGTGTTGTGCTGAAGCTTAATTGCTTTTGTTTGGATTGATGTTAGTTAAAAAATGCTCATGGTGGGAAGCTCATTCCATTCCCATATGTGTTGAACCTGTTTATTTTGCTTTATACTTAAAGTTGGCTATCGTCCTTATTTTGCAATAAATTACCCAAAGGGTGGACAGCTCCACATCGTCGTGTGTTAGTATGGGGTTTCATTGCACTTTTCCTTTGATTGGTTACCGATGTTTGTTTTTGAAGGTGGTTAGTTGACTGTTCCATCATTTACTTCTATTAGGTGCAAGGAATGCACTCTGATGTTGCGGCATTGAGTAAGGCCAGTATATGGCATGAGGCTTCACGTATTGTAAACGAAGAAGGGTTTAGAGCATTTTGGAGAGGCAATCTGGTTACTATTGCTCATCGCCTTCCATATTCTTCTGTCAGCTTCTATGCTTATGAACGCTACAAACAAGTCAGTGAATACATGCCTTGGCTGAATTCTAAGCTTTTTGAATTGTCTGATGTTTTAGCCTTGCAGCATGCTTTTATTTCATCTGACCTGTTTTTATATGTCAGTTGCTGCATTCACTTCTTGGCGAAAATCTTAGGGGTAATGCAAGTACAGACATGTGTGTGCACTTTCTTGGTGGCGGGATGGCAGGATTAACCGCTGCCTCAGCCACATATCCACTGGATCTTGTGAGGACACGTCTTGCAGCTCAGGTACTGCTCAGATATTGCAGTTCTTGTTGATTAAGTTTGGTCTTAGGTATGATTTATTACTGTCCATCCGTTGTATTTTTTCAGTTTGATTTTTATCAGTGTATTTGAATTTTGTAGAGAAATGCACTATACTACAGAGGTATTGGGCATGCATTTCATACAATTTGCAGAGAAGAAGGTTTTTTGGGATTGTATAAAGGACTTGGAGCGACACTGTTGGTATGCTTTATTATGAACCTGCACATTCTTCGTTGCTTTATTTTGTTAACACTAATTTCCATTTGGTTTATTCTTGTGGCACAGGGTGTTGGGCCCAGTATAGCAATAAGCTTCTCAGTTTATGAGGCTTTGAGGTCTTTTTGGCAGTCTGAAAGGTGAATACTGCATAATTGGTTGATTTGGGGCTGAATTTTTTTGGGTGATGTTTATTGCCCCTCTATTTGCTTGAGTTGTAATATTGTAGTTTTCAATTCTTCTGACCTCAGGCCCAATGATTCGACTGTCATGGTCAGTCTTGCCTGCGGCAGTCTTTCAGGCATTGCCTCATCAACAGGTAAGTGATCTGTGACATTTGGTGCTAGTTTGGACCATCAAAAGATGGATCGCTATATTAGAAAATTGATGATGCACAGTGGAGGATTTATTTCCACAAGGACAAATACTTTACAAATTAACAAAAACTTATATACTGATGTAGTTTATGAACAATACTCCTTGTACGATGCCTTTAAGTCTCGTATAGTTTTCAGATACAGATAGATGACAAACTATGTTAGGACTTCCAATTGATCTGTTTAGGATCTAGCAATAAGAATATCAGATTTATTGTTCTTCTGTGTGATTATCTTTTGTCTTTTTGTTATTTCAGCAACATTCCCTCTGGATCTTGTGAGGCGAAGGATGCAGTTAGAGGGGGCTGGTGGTCGAGCTCGCATCTATAATACCGGCTTAGTTGGGACTTTTAAGCACATAATCCGGACTGAAGGCCTAAGGGGCTTGTATAGAGGGATTCTTCCAGAATATTACAAGGTTGTCCCCAGTGTAGGCATTGTCTTCATGACTTACGAGACACTGAAAATGCTTTTGTCGCGCATCCAAACAAGTGACTAGTTGCCTCTAAATTTCCCATTTTCCACTGTTGGTCATGCCATGGAATTCGCGAACTCACTGGGGTTTCCAACATATGAAGGTAGGGAAGAGGATAAAGTTGGTTAAACACACAACATAGGTAGAAGAATAGTTGTGGTAGTTGAGAAATATTTGGTGGTAAATTTTGCTGTTGCTGCCATGTGACCATATTTATTTCTGTATAGGAAGTTTAGGTAGCTGCATGAGTCACAACATGCTCCCATTTTGATATAATTAGGTAGCAACCTAAGTATTCATTGATGATTACCATCGTTAACAATTTTGTTGTTCCAGCTTCTTTGTTATGTTCAATTTTTATTTCATTTTATTGAAGTCTACAGTCAAATGACATGTTAAAGCTGTTATGTTAGCTGCATGAGTCACAACATGCTCCCATTTTGATATAATTAGGTAGCAACGATGATTACCATCGTTAACAATTTTGTTGTTCCAGCTTCTTTGTTATGTTCAATTTTTATTTCATTTTATTGAAGTCTACAGTCAAATGACATGTTAAAGCTGTTATGAACTGTTGCTGAGTATCAAGATGATACTATTTTTGGAAAGCTATGTAGAAGAGGGAATTTTATATATTTATTATACCTGAAGACTTGAGAGCTGACTGGAATTGCCAGCAATTTCTTCGTTTTACATATTGTGACCAATCCTCTTGAATGCTTGGTTGGTTTGCTTTTAATAGTATGAAACATCATATGTTGTAAGAAGCATAAGCCTAAAAGTAGTTTAAACTTTTTGTGTTTATTGTCCCCAACAATCTTGGATCTCCAATATCATAATTTGTTTTCTTCTCTTTAACCGTCTGCATCTTGCATAAAAGCTTGTGAGAAGTTTAAACATGCATGCATCGTTAATCGAATTGTTATCTTCCAAGTTGCACATAAAAGTTATTTAAGCAATACAGTAGAGGTGTGTTGCAAACTAGTGGTCTCAAATTCGAACCCTCATGTCACGTTGGCAATGTGTGTGAGAAAATTCCCACCCCCATCTTAACTTTGGCGAAAGTCAGGTGAATTCCCAAACGGTAAACTTGGAAAACAAACGCCAGAAAAAGAATAGAAAACAAGCTAAAGAGTTTCGGGGGAACTTGTTAACTTTTCTTTTAAACTGCTACTCAAGGGTTTCAGGGATTTTGATGAAAGGTTCGGTCGTGCATGCTCATCATGTTCTTAAGATTTCTAAGTAAACCAAGCAAAATGAACGATAAGAGATAGTCATTAATGCCACATACAACTCAAATCGAACTTTGTATATGACACAGAGAGAGGGGAAAAACTCGCAGAAATTCTAAGAACAAAGGTTTACACTTTTACACTTGATTTTCGGGATATATTCTCTAATTATTTTTCATATAATCATAGTAAGATTCTTCTTTATTCATCTCATGAGAATTGCTTTAATATACTCATCGGATTGTTGCAATCTCTCTCCAAATCAACAAAATATTTTCAATTAGACTAAATAGTTAATCTAGGATCATGATGGTATTTAACTTTTAATCAGACACCAATGGTGGTGGACATTTTATTAATTTAGATTTGTTGGAATTACTATTAAGCCAAAAAAAGAAAAAAGAAAAAAAAGAAAAAAAAGTTCATAATTGGTAACCCAAGAGCTGAGAGAAAAGGATCAGATCACAGAGAGATGCCATTGGCAAAGGAGCTTTAAGGTTTGATTCAATTCTCCTCTGCTTTGCATGAACCTATAAACAATACAAAACTGGCCCCACATTGAATACCAAGTGTGAAGAACACATGGAGGGTGTTTGATTGGTCCTTGCTGGCATTGCTCATCATGCTTATGCAACTCTTATCACTCAAAAGGATTCTCACCATTTTCTTTTTTTGGACAGATATTTGGATCTGCAAAATAACTTGGAATATAATCTAATTTCATTTGAGTGAAAATAAAAGTGTTGGATATCATTTTCATGGTCCTAGAGTTAGAGGGCCATGGTGGGAATATGTAGTATTGTCTGGAAATTGGCATCACAGCACAATATTATTATTGCATATATGCAATATAAAAATACGTACATATCAGCAATAGTTTCAGGGAAGCTCCTATCATAAGTTTTATACTTGTGGAAAAAGTAACCCAATTTGGCATCTATTCTCATGTCGAGAGAGAGAGAGTTGCAGATTTAGGCAATCAAAAAATTATCAGGAGGGACCATGACTGGCTCACATTTTAGCCATACATCTTCCAGAACCACAAAAAAAAAAAAAAAAACTCAATCCTTGCCATTGTTTTGGCCTAAATAATGCGGTCTAGCCATTTTCCATGCCACTCGAGCAATTTGCATGCAGCTGAGCCAGAACACACTAATTAATTTTTGTTGTGCCAATCATTGATATTGCATGCTGTGACAAGACCAGCAGTTTTGTCTTAATGTTTTTATGCAGAAACATGCTTTATGTAAGGGAAGTTGAGGTTCCACTCCAAAATCATGGTATTAGAGCAAGACTTTACTTGTTGGGCCACGTCACCCAATATGTGTTGTCCATGTATTAGGCTTAAAAGTTCGCCATACATGCCCACTGTTGAGAGTGTTCGTCCCACATTGAAAAATTAAGGGACTTAACTTGGGTTTATATCCCATTATCAATTGGTTTTGGGGTTGAACTTCAACTTCCTTCATTTTGCATGCTTTAGAGTGGAAATAAGTAATGGGGTTTTACTTGCATTTGCTTAATAAGGTTTCCACTGGCTAGCTTACAGGCCAGTGACATTTTTTTAAACTGAAAATGGACACTGAAAATAGGCTTATATTGGCTAGACTTTATGATAATTTGGTAATCTGTTAGCCAAGATTTAAAAAGAAAATTATCTGTAGCTATCTATCTCAAGCTCCTGCAACCGAAAGCTCTGAGTTGGGGGATAATAAGGCACCTTTCATTTCAGTAGCCGAGGGAATAAATTATGCTGCTGCTAAAAGCTGATTGAGACCATGAAATCTGCTGCAACATGTAAATGTGGTACCGCTTTCCTTTTCAGTTCATCAGCTTTGAAAGAGAGAGCTTAGCTATTCTTGAAGAATACTGAACAATACTTACTATTTTTGGGCTGTTTCAAGCCCAGTATTGATAACAATCTTACAAAATTTTTTTTGTTGAGAATCTTTTATAATAGCCAGAGGAGATCTCTAAATTCTCCTCAAAAAGCAGTCAAGGAAGAGACATCATTGTTTTTTTGAAAGTTCATGTGCCTACCTTTACCTTATCATTTGCTTTATTTATACACCCTCGTTATTTTAACATATACTTGCAGAATATACCGTCACCACTATAAATACAGAATGTCATCATGCAGATTGGCCTCACACCTCCTTGCTACCAAACCTTCTCCTATTGAACTATATTTTGTTTCTTCTCTATCATCTATTCTTCATTAATCATTTCTTCATAGAGTTGATACAACGATATTGGGTTAGGATTGGGTAATCTGCATCCTGAGGTTTAGATCAGCACATATACTTGTTGTATCTGGTCCTTGGGATGCGGATTACCTCGTCCTCACCGCCAATGCAAGACTTGTTAATCTCATGAAGCTAAAGTACCTGATGCACGTTTTGGTTCTTTTATGTTCTTTGTTTCTCCATTTTCAGGTCACATCCCTTACATTGCTCAGGCGATTCCTTATGTTCTCTGCAATCAGGATTGAACACGAGCTTCAAAAAATCGATATCATTGCCCAGGTGAGGTGCTGGCTTACTGTAGAGGTCAGATTGCTGTGCACTGATCAACTTTTCTGTTTGTGGTACGTTTCAACTAGTGAGATTTTTGTGTACTCTGGTAATTAGACCAACAGTAGTTAATCTAATAAGCATAAGAATGTGCACATTCTCTTATGCTTATTAGAGAATTACTCATTGGACGAAACTTTTTGTATCTATCTGCAAAATTATCAGCAAATTTTTAGATCTTGAAATTAAGTTGATGGCTACTTAAATTTGTAGTATACCTTTTTCAAGTGATGCAGCACCCTTGAAGACTGATTCACAGTACACGAAATTTTGGTTGTAAATTATGTTGGCAGGCCGCTTTCGATTATTGTATCAAGAGCTTTTAGGCAAGCTTGTTGCGTTGGACTACCATAAATTCATCTGGTTTTCCAAAGCCACCCAAAAGCATGGATTTTTCTCTTGGATGTCAGAATCAATATATGCTCTTTTTCAGGAATGGGGAAGAACCTAATAGCCTCTCTTTTATTGATTTTGTTTTGGTATATAGTTACGGGAACACCTGTTTTTCCATTGCAGATACAATAGTTACGGGAAGAACCTAATACTTCGATTGGCAAGGTGAAGCTGCTTGGAATGTTATCAAGAAGTTTGTGATTCAAACATAGACAGAATCTCTCAGTTCAAGGGCACACTTGACATTTATGACATCAGACATGCCTTGGGACGGTCATATCTACTGTATCGAGATGAAAAGGATTTACAGTCCAAAGAAGAACAATCTTTCAAATTGGATTTCTGTTAAGGAAAAGATAGTCTATGATGTTCAACCTAAAGTACTAGCAGAATGGGATAATATTCCTGATTCTTCTCTTAAGAGGCAATACTCACACATGTTGTACAATCTTTTGTATTTTATTTTGGACTTTATTCCAGCTTAGCTGGATGTTCTGTCTGTTCCAGTGTCTTGTTGCAGTTTTTTTTTTTTTTGTGTGTGTGTGTGTGTGTCATACTGTATTGTTTTCTTGTTATATAAAATTTCTGGTCTATAAATTGAAAAAGACAAAAAAGGCAAGGCATGATCTATGCCGGCTGTAGCTGAAGACTACTAGTTGAGGCATGCAATTGACCCTTCGTTGATTTGGATTTATGTCACCCTAATTTAATAAAATTTACTTTCCTTCTAAGATTGAACACCCCTAGCATTTGCCAAGTTCCAACTTCTCTTGCTGGCAAATATTCGATAAATTGTCTTATGCATCATCACTGTCTTGGCTTTCCATCTGCAGCACACCAATAGCTTCTTCCCTGCTTTCAGTAGAGTCTTCGCCATCCTTGAATATGAGAAACTCCATCATCTCCACATGGAAGAAAATGAAAGTCCCACACAAATGTGTGATGCAAGATCCAAAGTTTTTGCCAACCACACAGTGCCAGGCAGAGCCATAAGCTTCATCAAACTTCTGTTTAGGAGAACAAAAGCTTAAGGAAAACAGTGGAAGAATTCACAAACAATGATAAGAAGTCAGCTCCCTTAGCATAAAAAACAACTTTTATCCAATACCGTAAAGTGTGTTACATCAAGGGTGTTAAAACTTAAAAGGTTTTTTTTACTGTAGTGTCAAATCCCATGACTGGTTGCTTGAATCAATGATTATACATGAAAAGTGAAAGTTACTACAGTAAATGACATCTTGCAGCTAAATTCATGTTAGCCAATCCCACAAATCCCAGATCAACCGGGATACATCCTAACCGCATATTTGGGAAAGTGTATTTTCCAGACAGAAAGTAGGAGGTGGAATATATGCTTTAGTCGTTGGTGAGATTCAATCTAAAGCATAATCTAACCTCCCCCATACAGACCGGGAACAAACATAAAAAAAATAGCACACCAAACCTACTTATTTAGTTTAATTAGGCTGCTACTTGAACCAAAAGTAAAGCTTTTCTCCAGACATAAAGGAAGTTATACAGCCTTAAACATGCTATTTGGAGCCTAAAGTGGTAGCTGAGATCGGAAACTTTGGTAATGTTATCCAAATATGTCATATTAAATTGGTTGTTTTAGCTCCTCTGGGAATCACTGCCACTATGCCTTGCTGCTGTTTGTGCCTAATAAATCACGGCCATGAGCTGGCCGAAGGAGCCCCCTTTCTCGGCCCTGGCACTTGCTCGTAAAACTGAAACGCATCGTTTCAACAAGGTGCTTTGCCTTCCTGAAGACAAAAGAAAAATACCAAGGCATGATCATCTCGGCCTCGAGTGCAGGCCGAGGCCGAGGCCAAGCAAAATCGCGGCAAGAAATATTAAAGTCAGATCATCACGTGATAGCAGGGATGCAAAGTTAGCGTTTGGATCCCTTCTACCCCGCATTGCTTTTGAAAAGAAACCACTTTTTCTAATCTTGCCTTGCTCCACACATCGAACCCTTTTGATCACATAATTAGCTTTGTCGTTTTGTGGCATTTTAAAAATGAGCAGACAAAAGATATGATGACAATCTCAGATCACTTTTCTAATCCTTCTTTTCTACTGTTTCATAGGAGTATCCATATATATAAAAAACCAAGTGAAGAATGGCCTCGAGTGCAGGCCGAGGCCGAGGCCAAGCAAAATCGCGGCAAGAAATATTAAAGTCAGATCATCACGTGATAGCAGGGACCCATGCTTCATTTAATGAAGTAGCGCCTATTTAATGCAGCAAACCCACTGGCCACAAATAAGCATTTAATGCATGAGGGAAGGTGGGAAGTGACTGAAGTCAGGTTGTGGCGACATAAGACAGAGTGATTAGACGTAGACATTCTCACAAGAATTCTTGCAGCTTGAGAGATTAGGTCACCAGCTATCAGAGCAATAAATGCGTCTACTCAACGGCCTTGTAGTTCAGGCCGTGAACCTAACAGCCGAGACTAGTTCCTCTCTCGGCTATAATCGTTTGATTAGAAGACGAGTTCAAACAGGCGCACCACTGATCCATCCTACACTCATCAATATCTCGAAGCACGGTAGACCGTGCTGGCACGCCCGCGCACAACCGCACCGCACCCAAAAGCAGGAAACCGCATGTCAATGCATATCCACTCGGCCCGGAACTCCAGGCCGTGAGATTTGCGCGACAGACAGCTGCAAAGTTAGCGTTTGGATCCCTTCTACCCCGCATTGCTTTTGAAAAGAAACCACTTTTTCTAATCTTGCCTTGCTCCACACATCGAACCCTTTTGATCACATAATTAGCTTTGTCGTTTTGTGGCATTTTAAAAATGAGCAGACAAAAGATATGATGACAATCTCAGATCACTTTTCTAATCCTTCTTTTCTACTGTTTCATAGGAGTATCCATATATATAAAAAACCAAGTCAAGAATATTTAAGCTTGAGGGTGAAAATAATTGAAACCTGTTTGATATGGTGAGCAATGGATCTACAGTCAGAAACTTCATGGAGATCAAGAGCCTTGTAAGCCAACTCCATGGCATGGCTTTGCATGGCATGTGGCATATCTGTTTCTCGCACCACAGCTTTTCCTTCCAGCATCTTATCTAGTGAGAAATGGGAAGCAAGATGACTTCTTACACAGATTGATGTGCTGCAGAAGCTTCTAATTAGCACACATATATATACAGATTATAAAGAAATTAGGCAGAAATAATGATATAATTAGGTGGTGGAGGTTTAATGTTGTATTATGGCATTAATTTTGAGCCTCAAAAATCCCATGGTTTGTCTTTTAGATGAAAGTGTTAAAATCAGAACAGTTGTGCAGAAAATATCTAAGTTGGTAACATTAGAATTTGCAGAAGAGTTACAAACACAAGTGACAGGTGCCTTGTTATTTGGTTCATTCTTTGTAGCTTAGTTTGAAACTTCAAAGTGGTCCATAGTTGTATTCTTGTACAGACATGGCCAAATTTTTCAGAGAATCAAAACCCCTGAAATTCTGAAAACACAAGGCTAGGAACATTCAAAAAACTTAACATCAGTTGACTGCAATGTTTATGAACCCACATCAGTCACACTATATCAATCTGCACTCTGTTTTTAATACTTAGATCATACATGGACGGCTGAGATAGATGCAAAATATAATCTTTATCCACTTAAGTTGATCATTGTGTCTAGTGCCATGAACATAGGGAATTAAGGTGCAAAAGTAAGAAATGATCTGAAATTTCATTGAAATTTTGAATTCTGTTGATCACTTCTGAGATGAAATGATATGCAATGTACAGTTGATATTGCTGGAATTAGCTAGCCCCCTCAAAAACCAAAAACTAATCAATCTAGGGAGAGAGATAATTGCCAACCCCTGCTATCTCTACCCAACCCCTCAAAGAAAAAAAGAATTTCTCTTCCAAGAAGATTACAAAAATCCCAAATTCCCAACAAGGATTTTCCAAAAATCCATAGCTACAGCAAACACCTAGTTTTCACTTTCCATTTCAACAGTTCCCAGAAAAGGAAAAGAAGAAATAACCAGAGAGACCCATAATAATTAAAATAAAAATGTGATTTTGAACCTTGAGCAGAGTCTCATGAGTGCCTGGACCTAAGCAAGAAGACACTGAGTTCTTGACCCGGGTACTGATCCGGGTTAATCAGATGAAACGACTCCGAGTCAGCGCTCCCCACCACGTGCTCATAGTTAGCCCTCATATACATCACCTCCTGACCGGACTCCGACTCCAACCCGTACCCGGTCGGCATAACCCCGGCGCCGACCGTCGTCGACTGCATCGTCTTCAGCATCAATTTCACCTTATCGCTCGCTCTCCTCCTCGCCGCGAACCCGAGTTGGCGGCCGTTGCAGTGGACGGTCCAGAGCGGGACGGAATGGAGCGGACACGTGGCGAGCTGGGACCGGCCCGACTCGTCGCACTCGAGGGTTACACGGACGAGGCCGAATCGCATCTCGTTGACGAGCTGGTGGGTCTTGATGGAGAGCTCGAGGAGGAGGGTGGGTTTGGTGGAGAGGCGGTCGTGCTGGATGCAGAACCACACGTGGCCGAGGCGGTGGCCGAAGATGGTGCCGATGACCATGGATTTCGAGGAACGAGGGTGCTGGGGCGCGATTATCGAGACAGCGTCATTCTCGGTTGTGGGTGAGGAAGATTGCGAATCTTGGTCTCGTGGGTCGTGGGTTTTGGAGGCGGTGGCGTCAATGTCGTCGAGGTCGTCGCGCAGGGAAGTGCTCAGGCGTTTCTTGGTGCCGGCGGAGTGGGTTGTTTTCTTGGTGGGGGAGAAGCAGGGGATGATAAATCGACGGAGGGCGTCGATCTTGGTCATGGTTTTGGTTGATTTGGGGTTGGTTTCTTGGGATTTGGGTTTAGGGTTCCAACTTTCAATGTCGAAAGGTTAAGTCTTGGATTCTCTGAGAGGTTAGGAACTCTGGTGTTGTACGGTGTGTGCAGAGAGAAATATATATGTATACAGAGGCTGCGCGGGAAAGTATCAATGTCAATATAGCCGTTACAATTTTCCTTCTTCTAGCAGTGAAGCCTTACAAAATATGACACGTGGTATATCCTAGCTTCGGCCACGTGTAAAATATTGTTTACTATAAGATTCATTAGGAAACTATTACAGTGTTTTTTTTAATTATTAATTTGTTTACCCCAAAAGATTAATAAATGTTGTTCTAGCTGACCCGCTGCTGCTGGTGTAATGTAAAGATATTTACTTCTACAACACATGCTTTGAGGTTTTCAAACGTTCTTGGTATTTGGAGAATCAAATCAGTAACATTACATGAAAAAACAAACAGGACTATAAAAACTCTAGGCAATATCTGTAATCTACAAAACCTACAACCCTTTTTCAGTGTCTACGGGGTCATAGTTAGCTTGGTTTTCGGAATTTTCAACAGCTACTGCATCGGACAGATAATGGCGGGCATAGAAATGGAAATACACGAAATTTACGAATCCGAGGGCGGCTATGGTGTAATAGTAGTAATCAAGCCTGTTCTTGTTCAGATCATTGCCACCCAACCATGATGAATTGCCATTCAAGCCACTCACTTTTTTGACGATTAAGATGAGAAGGGAGGTTAGGTAGCTTGCCATGGACAAGCTGAGAAAGAAGACTGCCCCAGCAAAAGTCCTCATGCTCTGTGGCCACTGCACGGTAAGTAGTTCCATCAAGGAAATTGCAGCAAAAGCTTCAATCAGACCAGATAATGCGAATTGTGGCACGAGCAATGCAACCGTTATAGGTGACTCGAAAGTCCCGTGCTTCAGAGCTGAGTTCCGGCGCTTCATCTCAGTAAGTCCGGCCACCACCATGCACAGAACTGACATCACAATGCCAATCTTAAACCTCTGCTCCATTGTCAACCTTCCGCTTTCATTCTTGTTCCTTTTCTGCATTTGAGGAATGTAGAGGCTCTCGTATATGATGATCCATATTGAAAGTGCAATCATTGGTGCTAGCCCCATCCAGGCTGGTGGAATTTGGAATTTGGGTCCAATTGCTTTGTTCATCTGAATTGCTTGAAAGATCCCAAAAGAATTCATTTGGTTCATGCCTATGAAACAAAAAATTCCAGTTATCCAAACAGGCAATATCCACACCACAGATTTTAGTTGCTCAACTTGCCGCACACTGCATAATCTCCAACCATTTGTAGGCTTGCCTTGGCTGTCCAATTCACTAGGGTCCATAATCATAGCAGCCTTATCAATGAACTTGAGTCTGTCCGTGCGAGCTGCCGTCTGAGACTCTGATCCAATTGGAGGAGGATCATAAAACAACTTCCCTGAAGTTTGTCCTGCATTAGAACCATATTTTCTGCAGGTAGCTACTACAACCTTGATAATGTCGGTGAAGACGCTTCCTTGGGGCTTTATGCGTATGTACAACTTGGTTCCTAGCAAGAAAATTATTATGGAGAGACCAAAGCAGGCAGTTGGTATGGCAAAACCCAAAATCCAGCTGACATTGGTCTGAATATAGACGACTCCGGTGAGAGCTATGAGGAGGGCTACAGTGAACAGGAGGTACCACCAATTGCAAAAGCTGTCTAGCTGTGCTCTTCCTATCTCTGTTTTGGTGTCAAACTGATCAGCTCCAAAGGCAATGTTGCATGGTCTAAGGCCTCCAGATCCAACCACTAGCAACCCGAGACCCGAATAGAGGACGGCTATCTGCCAAGCAGTAGGTTGTGGGCATTCGGTTTGTCCTTTGCAGGCAGAGGGAGTTAATTCGTGTAAACCTGCAGTTAAGGTCAGGGTCCCCATTCCCTGCCAGATTGAAATCACAAGTGTTCATAGATCCTTAAAAAATTCATTCAATGAATATCAAATTCTATTTATAGATTCTTACCAGGAGGGATGCTATTGAGCTAAAGAGAAGAGTATAGAACTTTCCAATGTAAGTGTCAGCAACGAAAGCACCAAACAACGGTGCAATGTTGCACGAACCAGACCAGATGTTGAACACATTAGCCGAAACCACATTATCCAAGTTGTACTTTGTATGCAGATACATCACCAAATTTGCAACCACACTCATGGAAGCCATCTTCTCAAACGTCTCATTCCCTTAAAAAACACAAATCGTAACAGTCAGAACTGATCCAACTATGTCTTCATTAAGAAAACGCGGGGGGTCCAATCCCCCCATATAAAATCATTATAGAAATGATAAGAAAAGATCAACATAAAATGAAAAGCTTGCCATGAAAAAGAATTTACCAAGGATGTATCTGACGGCTCTCCATCCTCCAACTGGTGTTTTGGGAGGAGGGGATTGACTGTCAAGCCCTCCTTCTGATGAAGAATGCGTCGCATGCTCCATCGTTCTCAGTCTCCCCTCCTCCTACTTTCTTCCCTCTTTGTTCTCTCAGTAAGAATCTTTCTTGCATATATGTGATCTCTGTAAGTTATGGTTTGTTTGAGTGACAACTCACATTAACACTTATATTTGCTCCATGCGAATGCTGCGGGTAAAGGTTATCCTATTTTTAGCTGATTGCTCATAAAATCAAGGGAAGTGCAAAATACTTTGTAAACTGGTGACATGTCTTAACAAATTTCTCCTCCCAAAATAGGGACAACTGGAGCTACCAAAGTTCACACACAACGTATTAAACCTTTTCAGTTTTTTTTATTTTTGTCCTCCTTTTAATTCTCAACTGAAGGCTGTTTCCCAACTACACTGGTAGTCTGCTTTTCTCACCTCCCTTAAAAAAATTGATCCCTATTTTTTTTTTTTTTAACCGTTATGGAGCATCAATGAAGACAGAGCTGCATTTTGCTGAAGTGAGCCTTTTCTTTTCTAAGCGGCTTAAATGAAAATTCGAACACATCACTTGCAATGCAGTTACAAGAACTTCAAGAACGGTGCCAATTTGGACTGTTCACATCTGCACAGGCAAAAAATGCATGGAACTAAGGTTTTATTATCCGCATAATCTATAAATGCAGCCATCATGATTGTCAATAGGAAAAAGTACAAGACTTTCTACTCAGCATTTTTCATACTACACATAAAAGCATTGAGGACGAAACTAATCCTAAGGGGATGGAAAGTTTTTG